GGATCTTCTTTCGTCAGGGTTGCATGTTAGTGTGGTCGTCAAGGGTTGGTCATTGACCGTCGTTCAGCTCACAAACTCGCTTATTCTCAGTACTCTAGTGATTTCGACTTAATCTGGACGCGAGCCTATCCCAGACGTGATCGTTTGAGGCCGTTACGTTTCTCAACCGCTTCTGTGCGGACCATAGAAATACTCACAATGCATGTGTCTATGTCTCTCGCAGTCGAGGCAGTCAAACAGGCATGTCAACAAGGGGCTCACGCTGTTGGACTGAGTGGTTGACGAGCTCGACTCGGAAGAAGCCGAAGCAGTGGCTTAAATCTTAAAACGTCGGTGGTTACTTACATTAACTTTTCATGTACGCTAACATACGCGTTTGCAACGGATTCACTGTGCATCTAGTTGCCGAAAATCCTATACTGATCTGTCAATGCCACACTCAAGTTTACGAATTGGTTGCAAAGAACGTTCTTCCATTTTATTCCTTAGGCCCTGGCACCCTGGATGATCGATCATCGATGCATCGATGATCTCTAATATTGATCTGCACGCCTAAGTTGTGTTTTCTACTCTATCGTTGTCACATTAAGTCTCGACTCGACTCTGGACTTCATTGCTCCAAAGTAACAGCGTAATCACAGTGAGCTGGTTGGACCACTTTCTATTCTATACGTAGCACGTTGTTTCCGCATGGCAGCCTCAGGTGATCTCCATTGATCGTTTTTTGAAACCATTTCTTAGATGGCAGCCTATTCCTGCTGATTGGGTACTCTAGCATGTACGACAAACTTGAAGTGTTAGAGCAAACTTGTCTGTTGTTAAACGGCTATCGTTATAGCTTGAAGCTGAAAGAGAGCTTCTACTCTTAACTTACCATGGATTCGAAGTCACGCCAAACAGGCATGCTTCGTAGTTTGACCCACGCTTCCAGAAGGGTCCGCCTTCGCCGCTAACATGTGCCAAAGTCGTGTGCACGCAAACGTTTCTATGTATAAGACGTGGTGGGATAGTAGACTCCGCACAATTTCCATTCGACCCTCCTTATTTCAGTACTATGCCATCTTGTCCATTATGCCCCCCGCCTGGTACCCAGGCAGCCTCCTTAACTGAATTAGAAGCGGTGAGTAGAATTCGCTTCGGATAATTTGATTGATGTACTGATCGTCTTCGCTTACATCAAGCACATCAAAATGAAGCATGTAGTAGCGGGAATAAGCTGTAAATTCTGCCAGAGGGACTTCAAGAATAATGCTGCGCTAATTCAACATATCGCATCTAAGAAGCACTACAAATGCACAGCAGCGGGATGTCCTCGGACATTTATGACAACCACCGAGCTCAGCGCGCACATCAAGGCGGCTCATAACGCCGGACCTAAAGACCCTCCTGCAGCTGCCAGTAGTAAAGCCAAAGCCACAATTCCGGTCACGTTCCCCTGTGGCCCCTGTGGCATGGACTTTGTCAGTCCCGAAGCGCTCCAGCACCACATGAGCGTAGACCATGCACCTAAAAACCCATGTCCATCTTGTTATCAGAGCTTCTCCTCATCTGGCGCTCTTGAAGAACACCAGTCGATCAGCCATCCTGTGCCCAAAGTACAACCAAGCGGTTGTTTGGGATGTTCCATGTGCAATCAGACATTTGCCTCCGCAGACGAACTGTATGGTCATATTCGCGTCGTCCATCCCCTTGAAACACCGGCCAAGAAAGTGTATCCTTGCCTTTCATGCCACCGCACGTTCTCAAAGATGTCTAAGCTTACTGCCCACAGTGAAACTCACCCCTCCGGGCCTGTTTGTGCTATTTGTGGGCACAAATGCCCGTCTCAACATGTTCTTGATGATCATGTCGCCGCAGTGCATACACCCGCACTCAACAACTGCGGGGTATGCAATGTGGCGTTTAGCTCCGAAGAAGGGCTTCACCGCCACTACTTGCAGTCTTCAAAAGATGCCCACCCGAAATGTGTCGAGTGTGATCTTGGGTTCAAAAACGACGCAGTATATACAACGGCATGTTTTCTTGATTGCGCTTTGTTGTAGTCTCTCACTCTCAAACCTGTATTTCCAGCATCGCCAAACATCCCACCCAGAGCCGCCCCGCCCTGTTTCTCCACCAGCTTCCTATCGTTGTTCTTTGTGCAACAATGTCTTCAAGCTTCAGTTGGCATTGGATGACCACACGGCCGCGAAACACTCTTATCCCTGTCCTTTGTGCAACGATGTCTTCAAGCTCCAGTCGGCATTGGATGACCACACGACCGCGAAACACTCTTATCCCTGTCTTATGTGCAACGATGTCTTCAAGCTTCAGTCGGCATTAGATGACCACACGGCCGCGAAACACTCTTTTCACTGTCTTCTGTGCAACAATGTCTTCAAGCTTCAATCAGCATTGGATGACCACACGGTTGCGAAACACTCTTTCACCTGCGGAATGTGCGAACTTGTTTGTCCGGAGGAGGAAGTTCTCAGGGAGCACATTGCTTCGGCGCACTCGTGCCCCATTTGTCATGAGGGCATCTTTGCAAACATGGACCTTTTAAACGAGCACCTCGCAGACCACGCTGCTCCCTATCGTTGTGAATTCTGCCAAACGAGGTACGCCGATGAAGAAGGCCTGCGCCAGCACTACAGAGAGTCCCCAGATGTCATACATCCGTCTTGCATGAGATGTGACTTGGGTTTTCAGGATGAAGGCGAATACCATAATGTATTGTCCCCTCTTTTCCTGATATATCTGTGAAGATCTTTCATTCATGTTGCGTTCAGCACACAGAAATGATTCACCCTCAGATATCCTGTCACCCGTGTGATGGAGCATTATTTGATCCTGGGGAGCTTTCTATGCACTACTTGACATCTCGCAACCATCCCGTGTGCGACAAATGTCAAGTCGGATTCAGCGATCAAGCTGAATTTGCTATGGTGGGTGAGTCCCGCTATCACTGATGCCTTGACTCAAACCGCCGTGCAGCACGGCGCAACAGAACATCCGGAGGCATACTGCCACCTATGCCAGTGGCAGTTTGAGTGCTCCGAGTCGTTGCAGAATCACATCCGACACTTCGTAGCACACCCCAAGTGCATGGACTGTGAGCTGAGATTCGCAGATGCGGATGCCTATCAACACGTTGGTTTTCTTTTCTTGTTCGTCGAGTAATGCTCAAATGGTTCCATAGCATCTGTTTGTCGTGCACAGGCCACGCAGTAGTGAGCCTGCAACAAGGCAAGATTTCGACCCCGATGCTTTGGATAATGGTGACGGAATAGTTCATTCCGAAAAACACTTTTTTAATCCCTTTTCTCCCAATCGAGTCAACTCGACATGGGGTTTTTCTGTTGATCATGACCTCCCCTATGCCCCGTCCATTCCCTTACCTCCGAGTGCCAGTGGATACTCCAGCCCCCTGTCCCAGAGGGTTCTGACACGATCAAGTGTAGGATCGCGGTCGTCCTCCAGGACGCTCTCGCCGCCTCCGATCTGTGGCATCAAAGTCTCACAGCTGGAGACTGGGCATACCATGGATCATTCCGAGTCCCCAGACTTTGAGCACTCGCCGCTTTCCAATGTACCTGCAGTTGGTACACCGTTAATATCAAGCACAGACTTCCGTAGCCCCTTCAGTCCACGCCCGGACCCTCCAGCACTCTTTCCTTCTCAGGAGCTGAATGGCGCCAGTCACAGCGATCAAGAATCTACTGCTTCTGCGAGGTCACCTGAGACAAGCTCTCCGGTGATAAAACTTCCCGAGAACGGCGCATCGCCGATGTCGAGCTCTGGGTGGTCCACATTAAGTGGCGAGGATGCGTCGAGGATGTCAGACAAATCGGATGACTCACCAAGTCATCGACCGGTGGGCCTTGGTGTGCCTATGCTTCGCTTGCAAGTACCTGTGCCTAACGGGGGTTCTCAGACAACCAGGTATGATGACCAAATGAAACGTTACTTCTGAATCTCAATCTTGTTACAGTATTTTGGCGACGCCAAGTTCCATTTCACCCGAGTCTGCGGGCATTGATATTTCTGCAAATGTGACCCCCGACTACTTGCGGGAAGCTCGTGCATATCTTGCTGTGACTCATCCAGGACAGGCACCTTCGACTGTGAATCACCTTCATAGCCCGGCCATGACGTCCCCCAGTTTGACTTCAATCGGCCTCACCACAGCCTCTCGCGAGCGACGCCGTGAAGTACGATTTGAGGAAAGTATTATGTCGGAGCCGTTGTGGGAAAACCGATCATCTGATTCGACCGATTCCTCCTTCGATCCTCCTGTGCTTCAAGGCAGGAGGAAATATGGCGTACAAAAGAAATCAGGTTAGTGACGCTGTTTCTTCATGGATTTGGAGTTAACAATGAGCACAGGTGCCAGTAAACTTCCTCGATTTGCACCACTCAAACCGGGACGAGTCGCGGGAAGGAACGGGATCAATCATTTAACGAATGGCACAAGTTCTCTCTCTCCCTATCATTGCAGGATTTGTCGACGGGAGACATGCGAGGATCTGACGACGACGACTTGTGGGCACCTGTTCTGCAACGCGTGAGTACAATCAATACCGGTCTTGGACTTGGACTAACAGGAATTCGTAGGTGCATCACAGATGCGGTGATACGAGATTCGCGATGTCCCGTGTGTAGGAATGCGGTTTTGCTTTACTGTTTGTTCCGCATCGACACCACCGTGACCTGCCATGACTGAGAGTGACTGATGATGAGTAGTCGATCTATGTAGTATTCGGGTCTTGCCTGTCTGTCGTGCATTGTCGTGGAGTACCGATTTCGACGCTGGTAGTCATTCTATAAAATCTGTCTCGCAATATTCCAACGTGACATTGCGTGACTACCTGTGACGACTGCCGGTACCCTCTGCACTCACATCAGCCCCAAACATCAACTCGTATTGCGTGTAGGCACATGAAGAGTGAGTTCAGGGCAGAAAAGACTCAAGTCTGAAGCAAAGTCTGCATTGCCATCAGTGTTTAGGAGACCGAGTCACGAGCGTGCGTCACGGTCAGACGTGGCGCAGCCGCAAGCACTCGGCCAGAGCCGAGTGCGAGCGTTAAACCGATTATAACAACAGTTGATACTAGCGCGATACGGACTGACAGCAATTCGAAAGTCGTGACACACTTCTCTCTCCCATTGTCCGAGAGAACTGTCTCGCGTATACCCACATTTTTCCCTTCGTCGGCAACTGCAGCATCTTTAATAGTAATCAGGCCTGGTGGTGGTGTGACAGGAATTTCAACGGTGTCGACGGTCCATCCTCCTAATCTGCTGCTACCACCATGCCTGCGTGCAAATCTTGTGACCGTTCTTTTGTCGACAAGAATGCTCTCCGTATGGTGCGAAGCGCTTTGCATCTGCTTCAGCCTTCTAATTCTCAAGCGCTCATCTAGCACAGCGAGTCGAAGCACAAGTCTAAGCGCAAGTTTGAATGCACTTACTGCAACCGCGCGTTCAAGACTTTGGGTGGAAGAGACACGCATGAGGAGGCTAAGCATTCTCGCCGATTCGAATGCGGATACTGCGATAAAGAATTTACGTCCGATGGAGCCCGTATCCAGCATCAGAATGCGAAGCATGGACCCCGCCCCCGCACCGTTAATGCACCTTCGTATCTATCGAAACTACGCTCCCAAGCTGCGATTTCTCCTGTAAAGCAGCCTAGTGTAAGCATATTCGGTGCTTTATCCACGCAGAAACCCACCCCAGAACATTCTGATGATAAGGATGTCTTGACGACGCAGTCACCAAAGGTGGAGGTCGCTGCACCTAACACGGTGGCGAATTTCGCATGTGGAACCTGTGGAAAACCTGTCGCAACGATCGTAGCTCTGGAGGCCCACGAGTCGGAGCATAGAGTCGATTCATGTCCTTGCACAATCTGCGAGAGAGCTGATGGGCCTTGCAATTGCAATATTTGCAAGCGCACCAACACCTTGACAGTATCGGTGAATGAGAAAGTTCCTGATCGTGTTGTGACTGGCGAGCCCGAAGAAGCTACGTTGCCTACGGATCCACTTGGGGCTATCGAACCTAAGGTAGTCGAGGACTCTTTGGTTGGGTCCTGCGATTTGGTCATGACCCTGGAATCCCAAGGAGCTACCGATCTATCAGTTGATTGTAGCATCCCAGCGCAGGGCATGTACTTGCAGGATCAACAATCCTTGATAGAATTGGAACGCGAAGTGTGCACAGAGCACTTGACTCCCGCCCAGACACCCTTACCCTCACTTCACGAGCATCACAGTCTTGATGATCCAACGTGTCCTTCTGATGTTGCCATGAACTTAACGGAGGATCCTAACGTTATCAACCCCCAATCGAGTTTTGCATCCATGGAATGCGACACCATTCCTTGTCATCCGAATGTGCCAGAGCAAGTAAGATTTATGATCCCAATTCTTTCGAGACTAATGCTAATGCATTCTCCGTGTCTTCTTTGGTGGCATAGCATTCTGCACTCGATGCTCACGCCATCGTACAAGAGTCAGCAGTCTATGAACGCATGGGTTCAAGCCAACCTGACTTTTCCCTTGAGTTGACTTATCCGGAAACCCAAGATCACAACATGGTTCGTTTAGTTTTGGGTCTTGGTATACGATCTCTGAGATGTCTTTGTCAGTCCCCTCCCGAGATATCCAACGACCACCCGACAGTTCTCGACATAGACATGAGCCACGAGCAGGTCGAGAACCCTCTAGAGCGTGACCCCCTCGTTGCTGGATTGGAACCTGATTTCACGTCTCCGTCACACTCGACAGGATCCCCTGCAAATAGCATACTTGTACCCGTGCAGATGCGCTCTCCCCATGTTCGCATCTCTGAACGGCAGCCTCTCGCTGAGTCAGGCGAGCCTTTCGTTCGCAACCTTGTTCCTTCTCCGACTCCATCCGAGCATGGTAGCTGGGGGTCGCGTAGAATTACTCAGGATGATCACTTGCATTCCGAAGGCCGTCCTCTACACTCTCCAATGACTTCTGAAGGTTCCACTGGTTACTTCTCCGACGCCGATCGCTCCTCGACTCCATCAAGCCCTCTTTCTGACCATTCCATTGTCTTCGTATCTGCGAACTCCATACCCGAGTACGTTAGAGAGAACCGTGCATATCTGGTTGCAACAAGCGCTCCGTCCCAACCTTCTTCAGCAGCGTCTAGTTGTGTCCGTTTACCCTCAGTGGTCACTTCGTTGGAGTCTCTGCCAGATCAAAATGATCATGCTGAGGTGCCCTCTGCCGCCACGACCGGCCAATCCCCCCTTTACTGCAGAATTTGTCTTCGAGATCCTTGCGATGATCCAACTGCGACGATGTGCGGCCATATATTTTGTAACAGGTTTGTGATTCGGTTACTTGTTTGCTTTCTTCTGTATTAAAACGCGTTTACTCAAGGTGCATCATTGATACTGTGATGGCTAGGTCTGCGTGCCCAGTCTGCACCGCTCCCACATTACTCTACTGTCTTTTCCGCCTTGATATCTAAGGACTCGTTATTCTTCTCAAGTGTAACACCTGTCTTGCTTTCGACATGCATGCCAATGACTTTTAACACAAACCAAAAATCACATTGTATTTTAGAATTCTTGAATCATTACAAGTTTCCCTATCCAAGTGGCGTTCATTTATTACGCACCGGTAAGCGGTATCATAGGTGAGTAATACTTGTCAAAGCTGCGTGTCATTAATTCATCGCAGCACTTGTTCAACGTCGCATGGGAAATTCCATTGCAAACTTGACTGAATTGATTTACTCCGACTTGGCTTGCGGCATAGTGTCACCGATATATTTCGCTGATGAAAGCCGAAGTGCAAGTCCGAATACTACGATGTAATATTGGCCCTGGCCATATCTCAGGAGATGGAAACAAGACCTTCGGAGTCGGTATTTGTTTTCGACCTAACGCCGCATGCACCATGCTTTGTCGAAATTCGTCAGGGTCTATTTATATGAATGGCCCCTAATCTCCTGGAAGCGAGCTGCTTCCTCGCGGGAGGATCACATTATGGTAGCTGCAAGCCCACGTCACGTTCTCAGCCCGCCGAGAAGCCTGCCACTAGACTACAGTCCTGTAGGCCCCCGTCCTCCTGGTTTCAGGGACTGCCCATACTCTTGGGCTCAGTTTGCGAAAGATGATCATACGTCTCACAGCAATATACTTTCAACACCTCATGCTCATCCCCGTCCTGTCCTGCCCTGAAACGCCATGCGTGTAACAAATCGTACGATGTGATTTCGCAACGACCCCCAAGTCTTCACTCCTGAGCATAATCTCCGATAGTGTGTTGTGGGGCAGAACTATTATGAGGCAATTCTGCCGGCAGAACTCGGCAGAAAAGTGAGGCAATTCAATCGTACCCATGTATTGGGCTTCCATTCGGACTGCCGGCACCAAGTCCCTCGTCGACACGTGGTGGTTTCGCAAAGTCGCTGATGCCTCTTTCTTCTAATACTTCCGAGCCCCGTATCACTCGCATCGTTCTTTTCCCATTACAGATTGTCTTCTAGTCGAAACGAACTCAGCGTTGAAGCGAAATAGATTCTCAGGTGGGGAGATCGGAGCTGAGACTGTTGCGTGGTCTACGACTACTTGGTAATCTTAGGATCTCAGGATAGCCTCCAGACTTGGACATCTGTAGCACATCCTTAGTTCATCTGCTTGGCAGTACCAGTTCTACCCACGTCACTACCTAACGGTTCTCCGACAAGTCGCAAGGATATCTCGGTCGTGCGTGTCGCGGGGGTACCATCACGATAGAGCAAGATCTTATCTGATAATCGGCCGATAACATTGATGGTACAGACATCGCGTAATCAGACCAAGTGATTGATGAAATTGCAATATGCTGTGATGACATGCCTTGATGAATCTGCCCTGTAGGCTGTGGTGTTCATGGCCCCTTCATGAGTGAACACATATGCGTGTGATTGCGAAAATCGCCCAGATCTAGAATGTCATCGACATGAATAGAAAAGCATTGATTGACCAATAGCAAAAACCCGCCTTCGTGTATGATGCCATAGCCACCGAACCGGCGCCGGTGATTCAGGTGCTTTAAATTATTAATTATTACTGTCGTTATTATGCTGGCTTAACCTTGGCAGAACGCACCTGACTCATTTCACGACTACAAGCAGACTTCCCAATTGCGCAGCATGTGCCTGATATCCATCGATTGTATTCATCAATGTGCTACTACAAAAAACACGGCGTCCGAAGATTTAACTGCCAGTCTGCCACGTCAAACGTCACCGTGGCGTCCTGACTTGTCAGCATGGAGGGTGATGATGAAAACAGGAATGAAGTACGAAGGAAACCAAAGAAGGAACATGTATGCGAGCGGCGGGGATACATACACTCGGTGATGGCTGTGACATTGGGTGACTTCAGATACTGGAGTGCGAAACCAAATTTGAAAATAAGTCTGTACAAAATACTAAACCAATTGATAATATGGAATATCGACCGTGTCATCACATGGATGGTTCGACAATTCAATTCCAGAAGAACGAAGCAGAGTTGCTAGATGAGGAAGACGATGTCGAAGAAGATGTGCTGGCCATTGCCACCGCTGTCCTACTTGGTGTTGAGCTCGCGCGCCAAGATCGTCTTTGAAAATCGGCAGTCTACATCTTTACCGTCCACAGCGAGATGTCTTACAAACCCACGCAAATATTCCCCTTGGCAGGTCCTGTTTTCCACCTAGAATGATTACAACAACGGGGTTTAATATCAAGACATGATGAATATTGAACTTCAATTACATATCAGAGAGAAGAATGCCTAATAAATAAATATGAATAAATTCTCACCTTGTACCCCTCGAAATTGTCTCTTGTATGACAGGAGTCAGACAGCTTTCTGCCGTTATCATTCTAGACGTTCACGCCAGAAGTCAAGGTTAAAAAATAAAAATTCTGGATACCAGTTGTTCAAGTCCGTCGTCCACTGAGATTGCAACATAAGGACAGCCCCTTGATGAGTGGTAAGAATTCCAATTGTACGCCAGCTGTCCGTCGTACGTTGATGTCGAAACATGAGCCACTACTATGTGACACCGCTGTCCCCGCCGAGCGCTAGCCTTGTAAGGCTCAGACATTGCGCTCACCACAAAGCGTCCAAATCAGTCCCTATAGAACAAGGGTAAGCATGCGAAAATATACGAGGTGCAGGAGCGATAGTAGATATCGAACTGCGCCGGACGACAGACTGCACGGTAAGATTATGTCAGCGAATATCTCTGGTGTGAGTGGTCCTAAAAAGGCAAGACCCTTGAATGATGCCGGGCATCGCGGCACACTTTCCTAATGCGTGAAGATGAGTCTAGGGCCCCTGCTTAGTTGGTTTAACCAGGGTCTTTCCATGATCATTGTGAATGCCATATGTCTGTTTTTCAGGTCCGACTGATAACGAGGTACCACTCTTCCCCGTCTCCTGGGAGTTCATGGTACTTATACTGTTATCATTCAGACAGGCTCAGGGGTTTGAAAGTTGCTCCAAGGAACCAAGTACTTGCGGTCACTGGCATCAACTCTATACCGTTGGAGTCCCTGAGAGTCCATCGCTATGGTATCCTGTCATCACTCCTCAGTGGCTCAGGGATTCGAGACCCGTTCGAAAGGACCGAGCCTGAGTCAGGTCCAAACAGGGTACCGTGAACTCTCTACCGTTCCCTGGGAGTTCATGGTACTTTTTCTGTTATCACTCGGACCTTGCTCAGTTCCCGTCATCACTCAGCAAACAAGTTACGGACGTGGACCCTTCAAGTTCCCCGTTCTACTCGGGTTGTTCGTAGCTGCTCGTCACATCCATGTGTACCAAGTAATCACACTCAAACGCCACCCAATTGAATCTGAGGCATTCGACTACGATACCATTTACACCCATGAGTCTTCTTTGGGGTTGTGCGGCCGCCGCTGTGTACTAACTAGATGGATTTATGTATTTTCATACGAGGTCTCGAACTGGTCACGTCATTTTTAAAATTGGCGATTGAATATATTCATCGATTTGCACATTGTAACACGACATCAGAGGATTATCTACCATGTCAGCAACTAGAGCAGTAACGAAAACAGTAACGAATGAGAAGCATAAGGAAAAGATAAAGACAACGACAAGGAACCGAACAAGTCTGGGTGATAACAAGGTATTAGAAACCGGGAAGAGCTTCCCTGCCAGTTCATGCATGGATAATGGGCCACGGGCCGAGCGGCAGATTCCTAAATGACAGTATCACAGGGGGAGTTCTGTTGGTGAACCGACACTTTCGATAGTGCTTATGGCAGGGCTAGCCTTTTCATCACCCGCAGCTTCCTCGGCCTGCTTTTCGTTTGCGAGTCGCCTGCGCGTGCCGGCCGCAGACTCCCGCCCAAAAAGCTTAGTGCGACCCTAATATTGATGTATAGTTTAGTAAGGTAAAGACAACAATAAGAAGCGAACACACCTCTTTGAACTTCATACGCACGAGCACTACGATTACCACGATCCAATAGAACACGTAACTCAGCACGCTACCAAGAGTGGCGTTATTGGTCCATCCCAGCACAGCGTTGAATATGCCCCACGACATGTCGGTCTCAGGATTACAGCACTCAAGATGCCACACATTCCCGCGTACGTCATATGATCCGGGTCCGTCACCGCCTGAGTCGTCGACGTCTTGGCCAAGCAGATTGTTGAAGGCGTACTCTTGGAAAGACCAGATAGCTTTACTGAATAGGCCAGCGCCGATGAGAAGGATCAAATTCGTCATGACGATAAGGAAAATCGTTAGAGCTGGTGTATGATAGGTGAACATTGGTGCAACATGATGATTAACGAAACCTTACTTGAGCGGCTGGCGAACTGGTAGATGAAATAACCGCAGACAAGTCCACAAGCAAGGCCCACGATTGCTGCAATGGGAATTGACTCTGCAGGTTGTCCAAGCGCAACACCGCCAACGAAGACGACAGCTTCAATTCCTGCGAAATGTCGCATTAGTTGAAAGCATGGTGACATCATTAGGTAAAGACATTCAGGGACAATACTGACCTTCACGCAAGACGGTGATCATCGGAAGGATGAAGAGTACCCACTTCCCAGTCCTTGTGCCACGATCGACATCTGACGACAGGATAGATTTGTTAAGCACAAGAACAGAGGCAAAGAAAAGGATACAGACGTTGATCACTAAACGCGCGCTGGAGCTTGACGCGCCATTTAGCTTTGGCCCTGTCCAACTTGAGCATGGTGATGCCCATGACTAAAATCATCCAGCATGCAATAAGTTCGAAGATGCCTATTTTAAAAGAGAAAGTATGATGTGGTCAGTTTAATTGCGCGGCACAGTGAGAGGAAGAACTTGGGAACCGAGTAAGAATTTGAATGTAAAAACACAGACCTTCCCAGAGATTTTCGGCCTTTGCCCAGAGATTGGACGCCTTGGTGAACCATACTGCAATGAATGCAGCACCAAGGGCGAATGAGAGGAACAAGCCTA